CCGAGACAATTAAAATTTCATGCAGTAGTAAAAGTTGGGATAATTATAGAAGGAAAGTACTTCCAAAGTGTTCTAATATTTTGTAAATGTTTTAAAAACTTTTTCAATAATTTCACTTTAATTTTCACAGATTATATATATATATATATATATTTATTTATATATATATATATAATACATATAGCTATGACGTAACTGTTATAAAGCTTTAAGCATGCTGGCGGAGCGTGTAAGGGTAACATGATTATGCATAATGAAGTGCTGTGATCTGTGATGCATCCACCTGAGACTCCATGAGAAGTTTGGTTTGAAAGCATTCAGACGCATACGAAGCCAGTCCGTTCAGGAGCAAGGGATTGTCACGATTAGAATGTGGAGATAATAGTCACTACGCGAGTAAGAACAGAAATAATGGGAGTAAGTGCAGGTCGATTGAATAACTAAGATGCGATAGTGAAGCAGTGCTGGTAGAGGGTGGCATCTTTACTCAGTACATGCCAATAGCAGTCGAAAACGAGGAAAAGAGAAAATGTGATCTACTGGCTAATGAACTCTGTAGGAGTAGAGTTGAAGTGCAGAACAAAAATAATTCCCTCTATGATGATTTGAGATGAGATAGTAACGAATTCTATGAACGCGACGCGGTGGGAATAAAAACACTTATCACTGACAATACCAGAACATGCGATCACTAAGTTTGGTGGTAATATTTACTATAGCAATGGCATCAATATTGGTATTGATAAGCGACAATAGTAATAAAGCATAATTGTAATTTCTCAAAGAAGTGAACAATATAGTGATGATTTATCATCTTAAAGCTATGAGTGCATATAAATAATTTTTCAGCTAGAATTTCTCCGCGGAAACGAAGTTGAGCTAAGATATTCGCAACAAACAGCTACGCAAAATTTTACCGAAAATCTTACACTAAACTTAATTATGCATTTTTCATTAAAACAAACAGTAGCGTCTTCGTGTTTTATTACTGCAATTATTTTTCAGGATTTTATCAGTTCAGTATTTATCTGAGCAGCTAGCTAATAAAGAAATGAGTGTAAGTACCTCAATCAATTTTGTGCAGTCATCGTTCTGACTTTCATTGTACCTCACACGTGCTCATTTTCTTGCCACTAAATTCACTTTTCAGTGGTATCAGCTCATAATAGCAAAAATCAGCTTTTATAGCAGGAAGAAGGGTAATATTTTTGATTAAACCGACTAATGAAATAATAGTGCGAATAAGTTATTAATGTGTTAACTAATTCCAAGATTGGTTGCTTGGTGATGACAAATCATTTTACTTCAAGCTACGTGGTACGATTGACTCAGGCCAAGGTAATGATGAGAAACAGCACATCTTTTGTATTTTTGTTGTCAAAATAATCTATTCTAACAGCACCAAAATAATGATGTGAGGGTTCAGATGAGCAACCAAGAAATAAAAACGCTACTTACACAACTTTTAATCCATAATCTTTGATTGCGAGTTACAGTACTTATTTGCCTTGCATTGAAATTCAAGCAATGCTTGATTAATTTTTTTTTGAATAATTTAGTTTCATTGCAATATCAATTAGTGTTATTAATAATTTGTTGCATATCAAGTAATGATATTATTAATGCTGAGTAATTTTATTGCTCAGGAATAAATGCAATAAAGAAAATTCATTGTGTAATAATATCGGTGCTGTATTGTCAGTCTCTGAAGAAATTTGGAATTCATCTTTTATACTAGCAATTTAAACGCTTCATTGCAGATAAAGCAAATCTGAAATAACTTGATACGACATTTTCAGTTTTTCATTTTGACATTCATAACAGAGAAAAGCTGAATGAAATTGTTGCTTGGTTTTTATTTTGTTTTTCAAACCACTAAATAATCTTTTTTTTGAAATTACAGTTGCACTGCGTTGACATTTATATCTCGTTGTCGAGTTCTAAAGTGATGGCCCATTAAACTTATGTGCATGGAAAAAGTGCCATGCTGCTTGATACGTTACATTGCTTTAGTTGCAGGCATTAACTGTCTGTAATATCTGCAATTCGATTAGCGTAACAGTATCAAATGAGTGAAATAAAGCATGCACTCTTTGATTCTATTTCTGTTGATGTATTTTGTAGCATAAGATTGGATGAAAATGGACAGACGAATGCAGAATTAAAAGCTGAATTATTGGAGAGGTAAAGCTCTCTTTTCTTTAAATCTCTTTTATAAATATTGGTGGTCGTAATAATGGTAACGGTGTTACCTTCAACAATAGCAAGAATGATAATAACAATAATTATTATTGTTGCTGTATACTTGAGAGCTCAGTTTCAAATGTCATTTTTCGGCTTTAGGACTTGTTATTATGTTTGCTTATATTTTATTTCTAATAAAAAGTAAGAATGAAAACAAGTATTTTCACCCATCTAAAAACACCTAAATCAATTTATCACTGAACAATCGAGTTGCAAACTTAAGAAAGACGCAATAAGAGAAAACTAAAAAAGATGGCAAGATATATCTATCTGGCCTTCCTTTGGTCTTTAATTTTCTTAGAAATATATGTTTCTGCAGTGAATGCAAGATGGTTATCGTTATCTAAGGATCTCAAACAAAATTAGAATTCTGTATCCCCATTAGACATCAACATAATATGATGATTGTGTTTAAGTAATGGATTTTGTACTGATATCTATAAAATTCATAAGTAGAAAGGAAAGTGTAAATGTGTGTTGCAGATTGCAGATGATACCATGATTTTTTTGATTTTGATATACAAGAATTCATTCATAGTTAATTAGTGAATGAATGTTGGATATTATAAACTGAGAACTACATATATCATGATGTGGTTATTTTCCAAATCTCTTCTGAACTATATCTTGTGAAATTCTGAAGTTATACTCGTTTTTTTATATCTTATAAAAGACTGTAAAGCATTTTACCTCTGCCGGTAACGAATCGAAGACTCTCAGCACCGTGTACTGAATGACATTATTAATTTGAACTTGCAACCTTGGTAAGGGACTTATTTTGAAAATGGAACTTGATAGTTATTTAGTGATCACTCGTTTGATTTCATGCAGTTACTGTAATTCCACGTTTCGATTATCCAAGACGCTTAGAGGTCAGTATTATGAAAACACGTATTCAATGCAAATTGCGTTGATCAAATTCTAATTTCATCTGACGAAAGTCATGATTGTTGGTCCACGTCAATTAAAACTGCTTTACGTGTCCGAAGCGACGCTTCTTGTACGGATATTGCTACCTTATCAGTGCTAATTACTTGATAAACACTTTCAATTGTGAGTTTTGGACGTTCAGAGATGGTGCTGACCTCAGTAGGGAACGTAGGCGTGGTATGACTTACTAGAAGAGGTTGTGCCATTTCGTATTCGCTGGTAGTCTGAGGCATTGCATCAAACATTATTTGCATATATGCTGTTATCTTATCTGAAAGCAAACAGTAGTTAAATCTAATTGCAGGTGCAATAATTTCGAGCTTGAATAAGAATTAGCACTTGAAGTTTTGAGTTTCAGTATAGTGCTAAAAGTAGAAAGTGTCGTTTGTGAGCCAAAAATTACTAATTCTTTATTCTCTAGATTTATTAAAAATGCGGACTGAAAAACGATTTTTATCAAAAAAAAAAGATTATAATTTAAACTTATTCAGCTTGCAATCTAAATATTTGAGCATGGTTGACTATCAAATAAAATAATTTATATTTTGCAGTAATTGTTCACGTTGTAAAATAATCATAATTTGAGACAATGCTTACTGTTTAATTTATAAGCAAGTATCTGATAACTTTGGATTGATGGTAATGAATATTCGTACAGAAATAAGAAATATATCATTAAACCACAGATCACAACCGGTATACCAATAATGCACATTTGAATATTCGAGATTACGGTTGTTATAATCTGTGACTTGTAGTAAATCAAATTTTTCGAGCATTAAAATTTTAAACCGTAAATAAATATAGCGAGACCTTTATTCAATTGTGGCTTGCTCCCCAGAGCTAATTGATGCATAAATTTTTCATCCAGTTTTTTTTAAATGAAGTTCATAGATCTCAAACTTTGTATATGCTTTAAAATACTAGCAAAGGAAACAAATGATATTTTAAATGCTTTCCGAGCATGATCTCATTCATTATATCATTATTTGAAGAAACTAACCAAAGCAGTGCAGATACTTGAGAATAAGATTGGTACAATTATCGGGTTCCGGAAAGCATCAGGGTGGATAGGTTTATGCGTGAAGCGAATCCATAACAACGCAGAAATGGTGATGAAACGTTGAAGCCATTGGCAAAACGAAATGTAACTGATCAGTTCAGACAAGTTACCAGCAAATGATAGCATGAAAGAGAGCATGACCTGAAAGAGAAGTATAATAATTATTTGGATGCTTACAAGATTCCACGCAACAAAAGTTTTAAATGTCGATAAGCTCTTGACTGCGTATTTTTTGGCTGCTTTTTCTCATTTCCATTTTGGTTTATGCATCAGGAATTAAAAAAGGATGATTCTTCATGTTGGCAATAAAAAAGATGCATTATATGATCAGATAAATAGTGCTTAAGCTTTTGTTCGATTCACATATAGATAAACGTATATTTAATTCAAAACGAGTTATACACGTATTTAATTTACCGAAACATGCGGTTTTTTCGCATCCTTAATTACTGTAATGATATCAAACTAAATAAATTGGAGCAGTTCTTTATTCATTGATGGCTAATTTGTTTGAAAAATTTTGATTCATGCAACTATGATCTAAACTTTATTCCTGTGCATGAAATTTGATTTTTAATTTATATTTCCAACTCAAAGTAGAAAACGAATCAATTATTGTGATTAAATTAGGTACCAGCATTCCTCTATCAAGTCTAATTTTCATTACCATGGCATTTCATTGTGAAAAAATCTTCATTGACTTACACATACAAACACTGCAACGCGTGGACTATCATGTACTGTATTAGTACAACTTAAAAAAGCTGGCAGATGACCCTGTCGAGCAGCTGCATACAAATATCTGAAGACCAGAAAAAGCTGAATTCAGACTAAAATTTCATAAAGGAAAAAGAGAAGTGAATGAAATGCTCTGAAAGTCTAATTATCATTATATTTCACATAAACAAATATATCTTTATTATATGATAGTAAAAGCATCACTAATCTACATTATTATTCTATCATGTTTACATCGATAGTTTACATCAATATTGCTTTTATCAGCTCAAGTATGTGCATCACGAATATACTGTGTTTTTATTTCAAATGAAGGCTCACTAATTATTTTTTGAAACTACATTCGCTTTACGAGTTATTCTTCGTAAAATATTATCTGATACAGTGGATCTGTATCAGCACAACAAACCTGCTAGCACAAAATAACGTTGAGTTGATAGAACCGATCAGCAGAACGCATATGAGAAAAGGCATTGTATAATATAATTTACCTAATTTTGCAGCCGCAAATGTCTAGAAAAAAACAGCAGATAAGAAGCGTAATACGTAACTATAGAAGATAATATTTTAAGTTCAAAGGTCAAGAAATTAATTTGAAATTTTATAAGAAAAAATTTACGTCAGCGACAGCCACGGAAGATTTCATCTGATCAGTGGTGAGAGCGACAAAAAATGCCACATTGGTTGCCAGGAAGACAAATGCTACTACGGACATTCCAATGATTATTGCCAAAGGCATAGTCCTGAACGATCCCATAAAAGTTAACATGTAAGCACATTTACATGTACAAAAAGTTATTTAGTGATACAAATTCCCATTCATACGCAAACTGTGAAGTCACAACGTAAATTGCCTTACAAAACAGAAATGTTTTCATTCACAAAGAAATTAGCTAGCACACATACTTCTTTGGCTTCTGAATTTCCTCGGCCCCAAAGTTCAGGACATCCCAGCCATCATATGAAAACAAGCCAGCAAACAAGGCTGCCAACAAATTACTTGATGCGAATCTTGAACCTTGAAATGCGTTCTCCAAATTTCGAGTTTCACCTGCACATGAAAGCTATTCTTATTAAAAACACTGATATTAACTTACTACTATTATGCTACTGCTACTGATAACGATGTTCACAGTAATGCATACTGTTATAAACTTCACCTTACGGCAAAATTTGATATCATTTTCAAACCTTCAATTCACTGAGTAAACTTAAGATATGGCCATGAATTAATATTTTGATAAGTAAACTATTGAATACATTATTGATCATTGGAACATCTTAATAATAAAAGTGCTATCATAGTAACACTTCATACACCAAAATTTTTCAGTCGTTTAGCAATTACCCAAAAATGTTTTCAATTGTAATGAATCAGTACCTTTCCAAATGAGTAAATAAAATCCTGTACAAATAACAATAGCTGTTGCTGCGATTTTTGCGACTGATGCAATGATTTGAAACCGAGAAACAAATATTTTAAGCGAAAAAAAATTTAATGCCATTATTGACCCTTAAAGCATTAATGAAATCAAATTTCCAATTTCACAAACTCAAAAATTAACGTTGCTTATTTCATCACTGAAAAGTGTGAAATTACAGTGACGATCATCTTCAATCTATTAGCAAGTACTGCTTCCTCTTAATATAGTGTATGCTAACTTACATAATAATGAAAACCCAATGAGCTTCTTGATATAAAACTCAGTTTTTACGTCAGCTATTTTTAGTTGGAAACCTTTTACTAAATATTCGCTAAAAGTTTGAGTTTGAATAGCAAGTGCTGATGGAAAAATCACGAGAGATCCGATGCACATGAAAGCAAATGCCAACGGATACCTGGAACGGGATTACCGAAAACAATAGTACTGATAAAATCAACAAAAAGGGACAAATAGTACGAGTAGTTGGGACACTACTCATATCTTAAATAATGATTCTTATTGCTTACGACATTGATGAACAGTAGCATTAGTAGAGCTATCGATGAAAGCAATAATAATTATCTTTAATTATCCTCGAAGATGCTTGAAAAATAACTCATATTTCGTATTGTTATGGGTATCACTTTTACACTCTTAGCAAGCAGTGACATACACAGCTATGAAAACCCACCAGTACTGTGAAAACCATTTTTTATGCCAGCTCTATTCAATCCAAAACCTCTAATCAAATATTCCTCTAAATTTTTTTTTGAAAAAGGATTTCTGTCACAAAAAAAATAACCGTAATAATTTTATAATAATTACTGTTTTATGTCAGAAAACAAGAGTATAAACATAATGTGAAAATATTTTTGAATAATTTGCAATACTTCTCATTAACAGTGCTGTAATAGAGTAATAATAATATTTATTATTATAATTTTTATAATTATTATTATCAACAGGCTACGATATTTTAGCACTGAAATAATTACAAGTAATTCAATAACTGTTTTACCATTTCACATAACATAAATAAGCAAAGTCAGCTCCTGATGTACGAATACTGGTACCCAATTCAACATAACAAAATGCTCCGAGTACTGATATTACTGCTGCTACAGTCCATATGATTAAAGATAAACCTACCTAAATTTTCTTTCAATTAACTTGAAAAAAGAAAAAATTATTTCCAAATGTTTAAAAAAAAAAACTAAATATCAAGAGTAATATGCTTGATTTAAAAAAAAAAAAAATCCTTTGTTAGTTTTCATGGTACGGTTTTCAAATCATCAGAAATGCAGAAATTTACAACATAATATAACACTTCATTTTAAACTTGATAAATCTTGAAAATCAAAAACTCTACCGAGTCAACTTGTTCAAGAACTGCCGTTGGAGTGATAAATAAACCAGCTCCCAGAATGTTTCCAATAATATAACTTACAGCACCATAAAGTCCCATCTTATTGATATTAATCTGAGTATTATGACCAGTATTTCTGGTTAAACTTGGAAATTTTCCATCACAGACTTGACTCATTTTTTTCATTACCAGTTTAATTCCTGAATATTAGAATATCTCTTTTTGATACTTCAATCTCAATATTATTATTTTCTCGTTTAAAATCTCCTAATTTTGTTATACGCATCGAGTTTTGCTAAAGATGAATCCTCACGACACTGTAAACAATGTTTTTGTTCAGAAGATAAATCAGAAGTTGGAAGATACGTAAGTATGTGGCGAATTAAATTCTTTAAGCAAGAAATTATTAATGTAATAATATAGAAAACAGCAGTAATAATTTACGTAATACAGCACACATTTCATTACAATATGATTTTATTTCAAACTGTACAGATTATTGCGCCTTCGAGAACGAAATGTGCAAATGCATGTCTTGCATAAATGTAAAAAGAATATGAAATGGGGGTAATTTGAAATAGCTATTAAAAAAAGTGGCTGATGAATGAATTATCATGATATTCTTCACAAATTTTATCATTTATTAGTGCTTGCATTCCTTGCGATAACGCATTAAAAAATATGAGCGTGTCTTCCTTTACAGTGTCTATGCCTATGATATTTATGATTAGCTCGTGATCTTAACTGCCACAATGATAAGATTGGTACTAGTACATTTAGTTTTATTTTTAGTACTGATTGCAACTGCTGAATCATTTACACCAACATAAAAATTCTAGCAGATTAAATAATTGTAGTAATCACAGCAGCTCATAATTTTACCCTTTATTATTCTTATCTTTTCTGCTGGCACCATTCATCATTTCAGCGCAAAAGGTGAAGATCATCGATAATGATTAATCTTCCTGAAATAAATACATGCAAAATGCCATCTGTTCATTTTAGGAAGATTAATCATTATCGATGATATGACAATTGCTACTTTTATTATTAAACTGTTATTGTTTATAGACGTCCAATCCGAAATTTGGGCACTGAGTAAATGATAATTAACTGTTCATAGTCAAATTGAGTTGTAAATCTACTGCAATTTTGTTATAGGTCATTATAAGTACAAGTTAGTAACGTTTGTGATTTACCGTAATTGTAAAACATGTTTGAAGATATTATTTGTTTTAAGATCAATAAATAAAAATTGAATAACAATATAATTACCTAGAAATGAGTACTAATGTAACAGAGATAATTTATTTGGGTTTACGCTATTGCAATCATCATAATAATACAATAACATGATGATAAAATAAATACTGCTTATATTTACATCTACTTTATTGTTTGCTTGTAAACGTCTTGCTTGATCAGGACCGTGTACAATATTCATTCATAATTGTTGGTCTCATTCCTTAATTTTTTATTTCCATGTTTTTTATGACTTATAATATATTGGTGAAATAATTTATGCAATCCATTGGTAAGACAATAAAGAATGTGATGATGGTATATGGATAAAATTTATGAAAAACTAAAACCTACATGTGAACATCAGTTCTGATAATACGTGAAATAAATTTGCCAAGCTCAATCATCAAGCCACTGATTTTTGCAACGTTTTGAAAAATATGACTGAGAGGTGCTTGACGGTTAAAAATAAAAGTAAAGGAATGAATGCTTATCAGTAATTTTGTAAAATGAGTAATTTTTATCAGTAAATATTATTGTCATCCATTTTCAAGTTTCTAGCAAACAATTACTGAAAAAAAAAAAGATTAGCTTCATAATTTTGTCAGTAGAATTAAAATATAGGAAATGACAATAAAGTACATTTAGATTTAATTTACAAGTATCATGCTAATTTATTATGCCGCGAAAAACTCGTGTTATCATTAAAGAATAAAACAAACTTTCAGTAAAAATTAGATACAAAATCCAAAATGTTTTTAATTATCTGATTAGAGTGTAAATCAGCTTCTAATGGTAACGAGATGCAACAAGCTCATGGTGTTCAAAGTATGTTCAACAGATTCATCAACGCCTACGCGTTTAGAATGAATCGTGTGATCTGCATAGACTTGATTGGTATCTGTGTCAACCTATTCAGCAACTACTTGGGTGGTAATGAAAGCATATGACTTCAACATCATGCAGTGAGACAAATGTATGAAGTTACGAACTTCTTGGGTGGTGTTGCTTCATCCAAACTTTTTCCTCTTACTTATGCCTTATATAACTAGCATAAAACGATCATGTTATAAATTATTAGACAATGTTACCTAGAATATCATCGACGGAAAAATACTATTACGCCCAAGCCTATTGAAGATAACAAGGCATACAGCACTTCCTATTAACGCAAGGTGCTCCAACTACTTATAAATTTGTAAGGTGTATTCTTGTGGTGCCTTGGAATGTTTTTTGTAATTATCACGATGTCTCAGTCAAGCTCACAACTTCCGAAAGCTAGCACTTCAATTCGTTAAGAGAGAATAAAAAGCCATTTCTACAAGATCAAAGGTTGAGTGAAGACTAGCAGTCCATGTAAAAATCAGGGGGCTACAACCTCATATTACATGCGTCGCTAAGCTATCGAAACAACGTAGGTGGTCTCTGTGAAAACAAGGAGGGTGGCAATCATTTTTGTGTCACCTGTCAGCTCTTCCACCATTGCAAGCTCATGTAAAACCGAAAACACGTGTAGCACAACTAAACTCTAGATATGTGGTAGTGTGAACCATTGCAAAAATGTGGTATTGTATTATATACAGGTCTTGGAAGGTCTTGGAACGAGATGGGTGGTATGAGCAGTTATTCAGATGTTAGGGGTGGCGTTAGAGAAAAGTCAAAGACAAATATACACCTGACTCAACATAGGTGGCATTTTTAACACGCTGATGCCCAAAATGATTCCAGCATTAGTACTATATGGAACACCGAGGAAGCCACTCTATATTGAAGTACACAGGCAGCCAAATGCAGGAGTATAAGCTGTGCAAACTTCTTGGGTGGCATTGAAACATCGAATGCACTCGAAAACAACGTGGGTGGCATATTGCGACACTGGAAAAGTTACCAAAGCATCTATACTCAGAGCTATCATCCTACACCAATTTCGCGGTTAGAACGGGGATTACATCAGCCAAATGCCTGCCATTCCTTCGAAGTTCTTGGTTGCAATGCAAATTAAGTGCAAGTCGTCCAATTTCAATACTTTCAGGTGTTCCACTCACAATAATTGGCGAGTTGGGCAATTATTACCCATTCATTAATGATTCTCATTGCCCTCATAATGATCAGATTGATATATTTGCATTAACTTTCTTGACTCTCAGTCGAGCCACTGGTACTCAAATCTGAGCAACGTCACACTGCCAGTTATAATGGTGGACCGTATCTTATATAAACGGGATTCAACATTTTCACAATGGAGTCTGAAGAGCAAAAACTCGTAATGACCTCAAGAATGAGATGTTTAAGAAATTAGCAGTGTTTCGTGCCGTTAATTACGTATTAACATTGCACGTAATGAATCATTTGCACACCGAACCCCTCATCCGTATTTACTGGAAAAAGAGTTTTTGACATTTAACTTCAGATTGCAAAGCTAATTTTATAAATGTTCAAGTTGGAGTAGCTAGGACTTGTATGTCATTTGTGGACATAATCATGGGAATTGTTCTATTTCAGATGTTTTATGTCTTGAAAGATGAACGATTACTGGGACAAATTGACATGTGCTGCCGGAAACCAGTTTATAATTCTTTTACAGTAAACTGTGAGGGATATGATGTTTCATATATCAATGAGAAAGTGAGTTAAGTCATTCAAACAAATGTTTCTTACGTTTTATGATCAGTCTGAATATTTTAATATTATCGAATCTTATTCTTCTGTTTTTCATCTCCCAATAAAAGTGATGTTTGTTCTTTGCTGATTAAGAAACTAGCGATAGGAAAAAGAAAGAATATACAGTTTATGGTGCCCATTTCAAGTAAGGTAACTTGAGTACAATTTTTAATTTTTCAGGCAGTCATCGACAGACTAATTGATTGTTATCCTGGCAGGGTTGCACCAATGTCTGTTGATGTGTTTGATGCATTAATTTATAAAATGAGTGGTCCATACAGGTTGTTACTTTCGTAATCACGACTATATCTTATGCCATTCCAAATTGCTACTTAATACTTTTTAAATTCATAGTTAGTGATCAGTGGAGATTGTCGCTTTTTTAAAAAATCACTTGATAGTTGTTTCAGACATGCAAAATTCTGGAGATTTACGCGTCGTGTTGCAAAGGAACTAATGAAATTGAATGCATTGGAATTCGTTAAATATTTGCAAAAAATTTCCGAGGTTCTGTTGATTGGTATATTTCGCCCGTAATTTGTTCTTCAGATCTCAAAGATGATAAACGCTAATTTCAGGATATGTTAAAATCTGAAATGCTGTATCGTCTTAATATTCATGCAAAGCAGTACATTGCATCAGTAATAATATGTAGAGCAGTGCGCATCTGTAGGCTTCGAATATTGTGTGAGCAGGCTGCTACAAATTGTCTTCTGCAAATCAAAACGGGTCATTTGGTTCGTTTATTGTGATTCCAGTATTTTCTAATTTTTACCAAAAGCCATGACAGCATGAAGTTTTCTAAATAATATCCTTACTCATTTGTCATTTTTGCCGTCTCATCTTTATTGTTTGTTTTGAAATGTGTGTCTATCATGTTCTTATTATCTTTTAGTTGCAACCATCTTTACTGTTTCTGGCACTCATTGCAGAGGTTAATGGTACTCTCAAAGAAAATATGATGAAAATCACTAAATGTTATGGTTATTTATATCCAATACTTGAGGGTTCTAGGTATGAATCAAAAATTTTCAAACTGAAAGTAGTAGATTAGCTGACAGAATGTTTTCTTCAGTCTTGTGTAAGGCTAAGATGTTTAGAACTCGGACGAAATATTTGATGTTTATTGTACGTTGCTTTTCCTTCTTTTAATCACTACTTTTTGTAGTTTTCTGAATATCAAGAAATTACTGGAAATGACGAATGTTGAATTTCAAAGCCAGACTTTTCAAATTTCACCGTTTACTTCTCGTATCATCAAGGAAATAACAGGAATCAAAGAAGGTACTTTGCTATGTTGTTAGCTGGTAATGAAAGCCAAGATTGTAACAAGTACTAGTTTTAGTCTTTGTGCTCTTTTAAATTATTTCCATTCAGTGCTCTCTTTTGAAATATTCCCTTTAATATATCACCATTAACCTACCTTGCATCAGTTTTTGTTTACTTGAAGTTGACAGGTTTTTAGAAGGTCATACAATTTAAGTTTTTATTTCAGAGTTTTATTTCTGATACTATGTTAATTTCACGATAGAATTGCAGGATCGACAAGTAAAATTCAAAAAATAGATCTGAAAGAAAAAGTGAAGTCATCTTGAAACCTTTTCTTTTTCGATCGATTGCGCTAGTGTGGAAGAACAGGAAGTGACAGTTCACAGTATTGAATTTATTATCTAGAACTGTTTCAGAAGAAAATATTGTTGCAGATTTTTTTCGGCTTATGAATGCGTATTAAAAGTAGAGTCTTGTTTAACACTGTAATTTATCATACTTAATGTTTACAACAAGTTCAACGAGTATATGGTTTAAGAGCAGTTCAAACACGAGTGACAAAGTAGGATAGGAGCTTATTTTAGGTAGTCACATACTTTATTCAGTTGTTTTAAATTCTTATGATAATTTGTACAACACTGTTTTGTGTTAACTTTTTGAAATCGAAGCATTCAAGCTCACGATTATGTTGAAGTCCGTTTTTTGTTTGTTAGTGCAAGCGCATATTACTATAAAATACAATAAACTGTTGAAGCTTGAATTGAAATCGAGAAAGTAAATGAAAATAATTCTTCTGATATTTTAGTTGGAATTTATAATCACGTAAATAGTTTAGATGTGTACTCGAGGTCTCATAACTTCTTTTTGTGAAACTAATTTGCAAATTTTGATGATTGAAGATAATAAGTGTGCTGTATGTCTGCATACATTTCCGTATGGTATCATTTATTTGGTAAACGGTTTTCTGTGTACATATTTTTGATTGCAATGGCAACAATTTTTTTGAAGGGTAAAGAGGGTCTGATTCCATTTGCCTTGTGATTCATTACTCTTTTGGTCTTGATTAGATGAAAGATGTTTGGTAGGTTCACACAGTTAAGGTTGTTTACAACTCACCATTTCGATTGTTGTAAGTATGTGGTGGAAAGTGCGAGATTTGTAGGGTTGGATTTCATTGTCATTTAGTTGACAAAAAGGCTGAGGCTAGGAAATTGGGTTACTTGGTTATGACAGAAATAGGATGCAAATATTTCATTCCTAACTTGTAAAGTTCGTACACCTTACTTCCTTGCGTGAGTGATTGGTACAATTGTTTTTGCTTTCATAGTTATGATCTAGTTATACTTTCTCTAATACAGTTGAAGCTAGCAGGTTTCCAGACTAGTCTAGGCTCATTACGATATATGGATTACCAAGGAGAAGCAGGCATTAATCTCAGTGATCATCTTATAAATTACTTGCACTTGTCTGTAAGTAGCAATTTAATATTTCTATCAATCTCTGTTTTCAATATCACCTACTACAGAAGTAGATGGAATTAATTCATAGACAAAACTTAGGAGAGATCGGTTATATTGATTTTGGAACTTGTTAATTGATGTTTTGTCTAACTTTGACTGCAGAGTTACCAACTATTGATCACCGAGAGCATTCTCTTATCAGCTGTTATTTATGTCGTGCTCATTTTTACGCTCCGAAAAAAAAAACAATTCTGGCTAACTGAAGAGGTTCGTTATGTCATGCATAGGCTGTGTTGCTTACAGTTTGTATTTTTTGTCTGTTCTATATCATATAAAATTTAGCAAAAAGAGAGGATACTCGCGAAGTGGAAACCGGAACCACTGGTACCTGAAACACCAGCTGAACATCCTGCCTTACGACCACATTTCTTTGATGGGTTAGTCTTGATTGTATATGTGATTCTTTGTACACATTGTACTTATTTATTTCTATTGAAAGTAGTCAATATTTTGACATGAAGTTTTAAATTTTGAATTTGTAGTTTGTGACGTACTTTCCAATAATTTAAAGAATCGTCTGCAGAATATCTATTAAATATCTTCTCAAAGCGAAAAAAAAAACTGAATATTATGTAGGAAAGTGTGCAAATATGTCAACTACGATGGGAAAGATTACTTCAATTTGGTATCAACAAATTTTTTAGGTTTAATTGGGAACGAAACTATCGAAGTAAGAGATTAATAAATCTATCAGTATGACTTTACTTTTCAAACATGAGTGAAATAAAAGAATCGGTGTCATACCTAACCATAATTGCAGATAAGTTGGGATTCAAGATTTAAAACCTTAATATTTATAGAAAGAAGCGAAGAATGCAATCGCAAAGTACGGTGTAGGTTCCTGTGGTCCACGTCATTTTTACGGAACTGTGGATGTACATCTAGAGTTAGAAAAACAGCTAGCGGATTTTTTAGGTTGTGAGGAGGCAGTATTGTACAGTTGTGGTTTTGCAACTGTTTCCAGTGCTATACCATCATATGCCAAAAAAGGCGACGTTATTTTTGCAGATAAAGGTAATTTCAATTTTATTTCGATGTAAGCAAGTTGTTTTTTGCTGCTGTTGTGTTGCTGTTTTTCATTTTTCTTTATTTAAATAATGGTTATAATACCTATCATCATGACTTTCAAAGTTATTAACGATTTGTTTCTTGGATAGCATGTATCATGGTTTTTAGGAGCGAATTTTGCTATTCAAAAAGGACTTCAAGCATCTAAAAGTCGTATAGAATGGTTTGATCACAATGATTTGGACCATCTGGAAAAACTGTTGATGGAACAAACCGATCAAGATCGTAGAGTTAATCATTTTCTTTAAAACATGGGAAGTGGCCTGAGCAGTTTTGCTCTATTTATATAAATTTAATATATAATTCCTGAGTATTTCTTTATTATTAATGTGACATTTGTTTGTAGTTTCCCAAATTAGCGTCAAGAACAAGACGATTTTTGGTGGTTGAAGGATTGTATATGAATAGTGGGGATCTTTGTCCTTTGCCTCAGCTTTTAGCTCTAAAATGGAAATATAAACTACGGATATTCATTGACGAGTCATTATCAATTGGTGTCATTGGCAAAACAGGTAGAGGTAGGTCATTATTTATTTTCATATCATTGGTTTACGAAAAACTTGCAATGTTATGTTTCTTACGTAATGTATTTGGTATGTTATGTTATTTTCTTATCTAACTCATAATATGCGAGAAAAGTGCAATTATAAGCAGAAAACATATTGATATATCTCTCCTGATTATTTGTGAAGTACGGATGAAAAGAAAATAGTACAAAGAGGGAAAAATTATTGCGATTCATCCGAAAGACTTGAAAGAAGTGAAATGCAATAAGTGAAGGCCACATCGGTATGACCCGTTTTCAGAAAGTATAGATCTGTACTCGTCTAAATAGTAACTGAAGTGAAATGTTTGAACTTGAAAAATTTTTTTACTGACAGAAAAGATAAATGGTAGACCACAGTTTGTCCTATATGGAATATTAAAAGTGTATTTTAAGATTCTGATCATAGATTTTCTGTAGTAAAAGTTTTGTTTCGCAACTTTAAGAGAATTTAGTTAGATGTGCCAAGCACTTGCGTTCTTCCATTTGAATTATATCATTGCTGAAGTCAATAATAGATGTGGTACTATCAGCAGAAGTAAACAAACGAGGTAATTGCTTTGTGTGGGTAGAGTACTCCCATCAGCACCATCTTTCATTTGATCATGGAATGATAGTATTTTGCCATAGGTGACTAGCAAATCAAGAGCGACCCCATTTGTCCATCCAAAACCATCCTTGAAGTTGATATTGCTGAGCGTTTACAAATTATTCATGAGTAAATAGTGAATAGAGTGATTCACCGGACTGTAATATCTGAGAAATTTTTGTCGATAAATTTGTCTAAAGAATTCATCTCATATCTTGAATAAAAATTTTTCAGCTCAAAAATGATCAAGGAGAATTAAATTTGTTAGTACCTGTATTTCATATTCGCCACCTGTAGCTTTCTGTGTATATAGTTTTGACACATCATATTTTTCCCACATTTTACCATCTTTCAAATAACCGTGGTAATTAAGCTTAACCCATTTTTGCGCGATATCAAAGGCTTTTTGTTGCATTCTGTAGAATTCTATTTTTTCATAGAAAGTGTTTATGTAAGGATGATAAACAGTTTGAGTAATTAATTAAATACTTTGCATGTACTACCTGTAATGATATGATCGTCGTAATCCTTCAACAATCATATGATTCACATTAGCCCATCCATTCGGAAAGTCCCATTGCTGATTAGTGTCTTTCATAAGGCTGAAAACTTTTCTTGCTCATTTTAGGTGATTGATTTCTGTAGTAATCGGTGCAACTTATTTGACAGTTTCTATTTGATGTGATGTAATAATCGTGTTCGCGTAAACATGTGCACGAAGTGAGAAAGTACTGAGATGAAAAATAAAACTAGTATTATTTCGTCCCTCGACATTACCTGACAGGAATACCGCCAGGGTAGTTTAGTAACCCGTTACGCTGAAGTGTATTCAGCACATCTGTCATCATCCGTCTGTCCATACGTCGATAGCATTCTGCAAAAAGAGGTACTGCGATTGAAGGATATGCTTCATAGTTTTTTGTGCCAGTTTGAAGATTCACATCAAACCATGCTTTCTCGCTATTATCGTAGAAAATATCAGTAAATGTATCCACAAATGCTTGCCTCTCTACATTTAGCTGTTCGCGACGTGTAACATTTCCTGCAAAATTTGCTGTTTATTTAGACTCGCATTGTAATACGTAACAATAATCAGATATTTTTTTGGCGAGAGTTTAGATTGACAGAATTTTTCAAGCCATTATACTGTTACAATTTGGTCATGTTTTTTGAAAAGAAATACTAGGTTTACTGTTGTGCTTTTAATATAGACTGGTTTTCAAAAGATTTCTGTTCATAAAATTTAGTTCGTTGAGTCTCTTGTTCCAATGTAATAAATGCGATAAACCGAGATGTCCATGTATGTGTGCCAATATAGCCATATTCCAGCACATGAAAGCATTCAAATCTACTGGTGCAATACTGGATGTTTCTGTAGTTTCTAAAGATTTGCGATCAGCAAACCAGCGGCTACTAAAATCCCATCCTGATTCAGCGGCACTAGCTATATCACGCCACAAGCTACGTTTTTGAGATGGTAACACGTTTTCGGCAGTTTCGTAATCTTCTCTATATGACTCAGGTCTGTAGTAAACTTAAGCAATATATTATTGATGGAATTTGATTTTATATCTTGTTTTCGTATGAAGCATTAAATATGAGATCATCTGCAATATTTGGTAGCATCAATCAGTAGCTTCTGCTAAAACATTATTGACGATTATGAGCATCATGCATTTTTTTGGAACCAAGTGTAAAAAATGTTTAGGAAGTATGCTGTTCCTGTAGATATTAAACAGAATTTTTTTATCATTTACATACCTTGGCATGTTACTGTCAGCTCGATATCGAAACACTGTATAGTTACGACCATTTTTTTTAATGGTAATTGTACGTTTGGTTTTCCAAAAAAGTAATTCCTGAATTAAAATTAGATTAGCCTATCCTAAGTAATTTGTTATAAAATAAATGCCTTCTTATGACTTTAATTCATTATTGTTTACGAACCCAGTATATATTTCGGAAATTTTTGAGGAAGGCGAACGTTAAAATGAATTTTCCTTGCTTGAAATTAGAGAATAGCTAATTTATATGATCAGAAGTATATTGATATTTTTAATACTTGATTGTTGAAAATGTTCTGTAATACAAGAGTAACTTCACCTTCTCCATAGCTTCAATTACTTTGGCTAAAAATTCATCATCTTTGGTAGCAGCGTAGTATTCGTAAACCATTGGAATGAATAAGGGGGGTTGCGACCGTCGAGCATAATATACTCTTCCTCCGTTTGGAATAAAACCAAATTTATCAATAAGATAAGCAAAATTTTCTATCATTCGACGAGTTGTAGTATGCATGCCTTTATTGAAATTAAATACTCACTTGCTGGACTGTGAAATTAAAGTACAAGATTTTAAAACTCTTCGGATATACAGCAAGCTACATCCTCTATGCTTGCTTGAAATGATTGTATCGATCGCTCTTTGCTGGGACTTAGTCACTGCACAGTTTTTTAGACGAGTTTCATATATCTTGTTCTATCTTTTTGTTAAATGTCAAAGCTTCATTTTATGTTTGGTTACTAAATTTGTTATTTATTACCTGATATTAGAAGCCCTTTTATTATCCAGTAACCATCCCAGTAGTAATATTCTCGAAAGCGTCCACCCGGCACAATGAATTCATTTGGAATGTAAATTAGCGAGTATCTTTGTTGGTTGTTCTTCACCTAAACTGTAAAATTTTGACACTGGTTAAACAATAGCAAATGAGCTGTAATATATACTTAGAAACATTATCTTTTACTGTCAATTACCTCTTTTTTTACAGTTCTGCATAAGTTTCTCCATAGATAATTAATTTCCAATGCAAACTGGCGTAAGGCACTGTCTTCAATGGTAAGCAGTGCTTCAGGTTCTTCTTTCCAGTCAGATAATTCACATCTTCAAGTTAACTGATTAACAAAATTTTGATAAATATGAGTGACAGGTAGGTGGAAATTTGGGTTGGTTTGAAACACTTTATATATTATTTTGTCTTGAAATGAGGAACACCAAAAATAACATTTAACTTACTCATCAAGTTCTTCACCTTCAACACCAAAATTATCAGCAATAAATTCTTTGACGCGTTCACGGTCTTCTTCAGTAATAGTTGCTGAGAAACGTTTGCGGAAATCTGCCACTACATCTTGGGGATTTTTTTTAAGTGGCTTATCGACAAATGTTTTAGAATCTTTATAAAGTCCAAGCATCATAACAACGTGTAAAATATCTCCATGACAATAAATTTGCACTGCCTCGGTGTCGTTTTGATCACATGCAAATTCTGGTGCTTCAAATGTTGATCCGAGCACATCATCTTGACTAAGATATCGTAGCAATGATATGTTAGCATTATGAGTGTTACTATCATCATTATCGTACAGTAATTCTATCATATCACCTTCATCAATGAAGAAATCAGCTACGGAGATGATTGTATCATTTTTTGTATGATTGTAAGCTCGTCGTCGAGCTCTTTTTTCTATACGGTATCCATAACTGGATGATGACGCATCACTGTTCTCAGTATCAGTAATGAATAAATGTATCGATAAGATTGTGATTTTTGTGATCGTCGCAAATTGCATTCTACCTTAAAACTATGATGGCTATCGTATATGAATTGCAGAAAAGAAATGATAGGACCAATTAGCAAAATTAAAAATACAAAATTTTTTGGAAAACACTAACAACACTTCTGCACCAATGATGGAAGAGAAACAAGTTGCTGGTAAGTGCAAAATTGCAGGTGTATATTTTGATTTGATTGATTTTTTTTGTTTTGATTGATTAATAAATTAAGTATATAATTGTTATTGGGGACTGGTTAGTAATTCATCTATCAGTAGTATTCCTTTATTGGCTTTTGTGATGATAAAGGGCAAGAATTTTTCAAACAGCACCAAAAAAAATTAGAAAATATCCCGCGGTTTTATGCAGTTTATTCAATTCTATTGTATGAAGTACGACAATGAGAATTAGTTTACATGGAATGTGTATAACAAAGTTGAGGAATAATAGGGAATTAGAGTTATAATTAATTATTATGATTATAATGAGTAATTAATTATTATGATTATAATGAGTAGCATCATTTTCACAGTTTTATAGCAATGAGTATTTGAAGACGCATTTTCCTTAATGGTATGGTTATTACTACGTATGACTATTATAAACTGTTATTGACTATCGTGGTATTTTAATTTTTATGCTCACTCTAGTTCCTTCTGTACTTATAATTGTAAATAGTGGAACAATGATGTTAATAATATCAGTTATTGTAATTATAATGATAATAACGATAATAATAATAGTTATTATTGAAATTATAATTGAATTATTGTTGTCATTATTATCATTATCTCCGTTGCTATTGTTATCACTATTGATTATTATCAAGTCTTTTATTGCAATGTTGATATTGACCATCCTCTTAAACATAAAACTTACTTATGTAATCTTTGAAAGTTTCGTTTTGCCGGAAATTTTTTTAAAATTAAACTGAAAACAAATTTGAGATAATAATCATCCTGAACATTCTTATTGTTGTAAAATACATCGTAATATCAAACGTGATATGAGTTTGTTTAAATTTTTGAAAATATAACAAGCACAAGAGGAGAAGTATTTCTCATGAAAGTTTGCTGAATTTATAATTTGTCACATAGTGATTTCTGGTTTGTTTGAAAACAGTGCATTTGCTGTAATACTAGTGAGGAATTGTTAAGAGCGGGTGTAAAGTGAAAATTTAAAGTATATCGAAACCTACTGGTATATTAATGAATTATTCTTTCATAATTTTTCAGCAGTTATAATTTATAGTTGAAACAGTGCAGGGAAAAAGTGGAGAAAGGGTAGAATTAGAGAGAGTCAGGTAGAAATCATAATGTATTGCTTTATCCTTTTATTGTTTTTTTCCTCTGGAAACTTTAATATATATTTTATACATAATTTGACATTGAAATCGTAAAAATATTCAATCAATAATGTGAAGCAATAATAACCATGTAACAATCTTGATCGGTTTTGCTATAAATGGAATAGCTGTTTCTATTCATTGCAAAACCGACCAAAATTAGTTCCATGCATTGCATATAGTTCTATGGAAGGTTTTTTTCCACACGCGTGTTGCATGATTTCGAAAGTGTTAAGTTGAGGTCTCCAGATTCCAAAAATCCATATAAAAAGAAAGATGTACTGGTATTGTTGAGATGGAGGTAGTAAGTTTCTATTTCTTATTTTAAGATGGTAATAATGCAGCACGCTATTGTCAAGTTTTCGAAAAATTTGCCGCTTTTAATTTCATATTTTCTCTCGAAATTAGGTTGATGTCATAAATTATTTATTAGCAGGATTTTACGTAATATTAATGCAGTGTGGAGAAGTAATAATAATTTAAATTTATTTAATGTTGACGTTAGTGAAAATGTACAATCTCCACTTTTATTTCTTCAGAATTGTTTACATATATCGGCGAAACAGGCACTAGTGAAACTGATTATCTCTCAGACATATTGTTGTATTTTCAAGTTCATAAAAATAATTTCAGGGAATTAGTGTACTAAGATTTTTCCTTTTCTTTTTATGTATTCCACTTATATACTGTAGTTAGAAAAATCGACGTTTTATCATTAAAAAGACTATAGAAAGTGCACATGTCTACTTTTTGCATCCTTGAAAGTATTTAAAAATTGGAAGAAAGTTTGGCTCCAAAGTTTTGATGATTCAGTTTGGTTTCCATTTTTCATTTTTTGTACATAGGGCGTTGATAAACTATTCAGATAATTAGGAGAAATTGTGTGTTCTTCTCAATACTGCTTGCTTACCATACATCGTTTATTTGTGATCTATGTAAAAGAAGCAAGTATGTGTTTGCTCTTATTTATCGTGAAGTAAAATATGACCGTGTGATAATGACTTAAAGTAAAACTGATCCCAGTTCTTGTGATGTGAGCGCTGCTTTCTGTCACTGCAAACAGTAGTAAATATTTTAATTCAAGAAGGTGCATATCGAGCATGAGGACAAAGGGAATAGTTAGCATGAAAAATAAGCAGTGGAGAATAGAAAAAATGAAATCGTCATTTTGTAGGAATATCTGTAAGAACAAGTTATTAAAAGAGTGATGTGTTGTAGACGAATTGGAAACTGCTCAACTGCATAAACTGACCTATCTAACACGATTTGAAACCTTAGTGCAATCAGTAGAAAAAAAATTTCCAACCACATCAAGCCTAATCTTTTCGAATGAATGTAAACCTCATTCTCACTCGGTATCAACAAATGCAACTTCTCATTGTAATAAGCAGTAAAATGGGTTAGATGATGAACTTGTCACGAGGACAATCTTGTTTTCAGTTAATTTTTTTGAATACAAAATTGCATTCATACGAAAAGATTAGGCTTATTATGGATAGAGGTTTATTTTCTGTTGTCTGTAATAAACTTCAAACTTTGTAATTACTTAGTACCAGTAAGAGACCTCTTACCGGTACTAAGTAATTACAAGGTACTGATTTTATGTTTCTCAGTGATGAAATAAAGTATAGGAATAGTTCAATTTTATTATCTTATTTATTTTCGTCGTCTTGATTAATTCAGTCAATGATGTTACTATAATTTTTCTATTGTATAAAATGTGGTAGTCACATTACATGGTCACTTATGGCGATTTCTATTTTCCATCTTTAATTGCAGGAATAACGGAGCATTTTGGTATCAATGTAGTTGACTGTGATATGATTATGGGCTCTCTGGAACACGCTTTATCAAGTACGGGTGGTTTTTGTGCTGGAAGATCATTTGTTATTCATCATCAACGTCTGTGCGGTATGTTATTTAAAGGCAGTTTATTGAAAATTTTAACCCAGTTATGCTAAAGAAAACATATATTACCAAATAAAATTTAGCATAATTGGGTTACGCAAATCTTGCTACAGAAATTCACTGATTTTATTCACATTTGCCTAATTTTTTATACAGTTGAGCTGATTCTCCAAAAGATAGAATTGTAAGTATTCGGTTATTAATTTACTGGAAGACTTTCAAAATATAGTGATTTTAGCATTTCGATTTGTCCTGCATGACCCTGACAAAGATTCTGGAAGAAAATTTATGTAATGGGGCATAAATTAAATTAGTAAACAGAAATTAGTTGAGATTTTGAAATAACTGTTATTACAAAATAACAAGTTGAATGCTTCTTCAAAACAAGAATAATGCATCTATTTATTTATCGGGGACTTAGTTTAATTAATTTACACTCAAAGATTTCAGTAAAGTTTTCTTATTTTATCCGCTTGCATTATTCACTTAAATGTTTGCGTGAAATAAGATAGCTTGAGTTTTTAGTTTCAAGCATAAGTCGTTATCGAAGTTCTCATTAGATTTATAACCGTCACGTGAGTGTGTTGATATATTGCAAATTTACTTCGGAGTTATTATTATTTAAAACTGCATTAACATCTTGTTCATCCTAAAAATAAACGTAAGCACACAAAATAAAATGATCACAATTGCAGTGACTTATAAATTTAAAATAATTGAAGTTGAATTCTTTGATCTATAGTATTTATTTGAGTTGTAATTATTTCAAATTAAAATGAGGCATCATTATTGTAGCATTTCAACAAACACTGTGGTGCGCTTACTTTGTAACAAAAATATACATATGTTATGTTTCAGAAATAGTTTTTGATGAATAGAATATTATTAGATCATAATTAGAATGCCGCATCCTTGTCGTTTAGATAATTTTTATTATTCATAATATATCTGTATTAAAAAATCCGAATTTTCAAACAATTGGGTTGACTTTATTCTCAAGATAAGTTGAACATAAGAAGGAGCTGATTTGATGAGATGCAGTTTCACAAAATTTCATCGTTGGAGATTTTGTTTATAAAGCAGTATCCTAAGTAATTCAGTCATCCGTTATTTTATGTTCACTGTTTCAGGATTGGGTTACTGTTTCTCAGCATCATTACCCCCTTTGCTAGCAGTCGCTGCAAGTTTGTTCCATTTTTTGTTTTAATTGCATAGATAATGACCACCATCAAGCAGATGATGACTTGTATGTTACACATATGCCGGTGCCGCTCTTTCACTATTTATTGAATGAAAGATGAAATTATTATTCCTCACAGTTAGCGAATCTAAATTTGGAAAATTTGTTTCATACTGAAAAAAATCGACATATCTTTAACATCTGAATTTATCGTACTGTAAATTGAAGTCTATTCCAAATAAAAGAAGAACACACTTTGTTGATGGTTGTTAGTATAAATTAAAATTGCAGCCTTGTCGTGCACAAATAATGTATGTTTGTAGGTAAAGGTTTAGAAATTATAAAAAATGATCAAGAACGTCTTACTCGTCTTCATGAAAATAGTAAGATGACTAATCTTGGGTTGCAAGAAGCTCTTAAACATACAGGCTTCAAGGTCAGTGGTGATTTATTGAGTCCTTTGCAACATATTTTTTATGATGGAAATGCTGCAGAAGAAACGTTAGACAATCTCGTGGAAAAGGTATATTTCGTTGTTGTTTTGAAGCTATTTTCACACATACTATGAATCAGATTATAACAGATACTTTTTTCAAACGAATTAAAAAAATGGGTAAAGACTGAAGAGTAACACGATAATAAGTGCTATTTAAATTATTTTTAAGAAAGAAAAGTTTTCGTTTGCTTTATTGTTAGTTACTAATATACCTTGCTAGTCATGTAGTAATTTGTAGATGCGACGGAAAGGTTATTTACTAGCTCGAGCGCGATATCTCAGTGAGGAATTCTTTGCATCCAAACCAAGGTGTGTGTTACTTTATAGAGTGTAGGGCTTACTTAGATTCAGACCTAAAAAAGTCTGTTTCATGATTTTTGTGGATTCTCATGTTTTTATATTAGGTGGACGTTTTCAGTATACGAATTTCCGTACAATCAGAAATGACAACTGATGAGTTATATGCGTTTCTCACAATGTTGAAAAAAGAAGCGCGAAAAGTTGATAAAAAAGCCAGCTTATGAACTGATTCAACCATCTATTTTAGTTCCAACTATGTATTGAAAAGTTTGTGCCTTTTTTCCTAAGCCTTTTTTAGAATATTTCGATCCAATCATGTTTGACTTAAACTAGTTTTTATTATTTATTCAGTCATTTATCTAGCTATTGGTCAGATTTAAATATCTTTCCATGTAATGTATTTGATAAACATAGATTTTTTGCTAGTTTTATAAATTTGTTCCTGCACATTACGACTTAATTACCATCTTTCTTATCACACAATAAAGACTAAAACAAATGACAAAACAAACAAAAACTTTAAAGAATATTTAGAAATGCAGATTGAAATATAAATATTATGTTTAACTCGTTGTTACATGAGTAAAACGTAAGACGAAATATTCGTGGTGCTTAGTCAGGTAAATTGTCATTAAAAAAATGTTTACTCAAATAGATAAGAAGTGAGGATGTAAATTTAGTTGCCAGCCATTTGAAAAGTGAGTAATTGAGTGATAGAGAATAGCATGAATGTAATTCATAAAATATAAGGTATCAAAGCTTTCCTGTTAGTGTCAGATCCACGAAAATGTTTCTGATACCAGTTTCGATTCCAAAAAGCAGTAATGGTCTGGTTCAGAACTACAAAGGTGAAACACAACAACATAGGAGCAGACAGCTTATAAATTATCGCAAAAAATAAATAAAGCAAGATTTCGAAAAAGTAATGAGGTGAGAAGCAGTGTTCGAAAAAACCGCCACGTGGTAGTACATGCGTATTCACAGTAGCTGGAAATATGTCCCACATGTCTATCACTATTTTTGTTGAAGGAAGTAAAGTGTAAAAACAGTGTTTTTCGTTTTTGAATCAATTAACTTAGTTTAACTGTCAAACCATTAGACGACGGGTGGAGATTAAATACATTTTAAATCGCAATAAGATAAATAATCAAAATTAAGTAAGAGCATGATTTCTGACTAAATGCGGATAATTTGTAGAGTCTTGGAATTCAAACCTGGTATTTATTAGTGGTAGTAATCAAATAAGTACAACAAACTGCATACTAACCATTTTGTACACGAAGTGCTGCAAGTGAAACGAAACAATGATGTTGTTGTACTTGAATCAGCAATACAGCAACAACAAGCATTGCATATAGTAATTTCATTGAAACAAGCTGATTATCCATTCCTAAAGAAAAACACTATAAATAAACTACACTTCAGAAAAACAAAACGAAAGAGAATACCAGTTATGCTACCTGATATGAAAGACACAACTTGCGAACATACGCATAATGGGTAAAAAGAAATCCCCAAAAAGAAGTGCAAGATGTTCATACTAGAATCAGAAAAAATTGATACATAAAGGCATTCATAAAGTCGACGTGAGACATGTGTAAGGTACAGCAAAAGATTGAGGGTAATTGTGACATCTGAAAATATTTAGAAGCAAAAAATATGGTAATTTCTGCAAATTAGTATTTTATGAGTTCACTGCGATTCTCAGTAAAACAGTATTATGCAGATTAAAAGAACAAGATATTTATCACGTAAATACACATTCTTAATACGATTTCAAGGATATGATTTGAAAGAAGTGATCAACGTATCACCTTGTAGTGATGTGTCAGTAATCACATATATGAGGGCAAATAAAGTACTGATACACGCAGTGAAATAAAACAACCAGAATAATCTGAAGAATGAGCATCGAATATAAGTCTTTAAGAAAACTCTTCATAATATCAATGACTTCACTGTTTAGTTTCCAAAAGCGAAAAACCTTTTCGGCATTTCGATCATCCTTGACCACGTTCTTAAACTATGATTTTTTCTCAGTTTACCAAATAAAGCAAGAGTCATGACTGTTTCTGAAAATGTTATCAAATACAAAAACTGTGAACCAAAAAGGTTGATAGAATTATAATTCAATAAGCATATAATCCAAAGATTTTAATGAAGCAAACTCACTTGATTCCTTGGACGTCCAAAATGTTAGTATTCCCAATAAAAAACTGATAACTATGCATATAATCCAGTATACCACGCATCCTCTGTATAACCAAACAAACATCCCTCGAAAATTCTATCTATAAATAGGCTTGGTAATTTCAAAAACCCGTTTTGAACCACACAATGCATACTGCAATCAAGAATATTGGAATTCAGCACTAAACTCATCCATAACAGGACTCCAATATACGGCTTGAATATTAAACTGATCAATATGGCCATAAATGCCATAGTTACTTCTATGTCATATATTTGATTCTTCATAACTTGGAATTTTGAAACACTGGATATCGAAATGGACTTGAAATCTAACTATTCAACAAAAAAATAACATTAAGTTTGCTATAATTCAGTACATTTAACGAAAGTTTTATCTTATTCACAAAATCCCGGAATAAGAATACAACAAATCAATATTAGTGCAAGTTGCTTTTCTATGACTGTAAAAATCATGCTGATGCCAAAAGACTTTGATACTTGGACGTACAGAAGAGAATACAACTTGATAGCAGATTGTTGACAATAAAAAGAACAATTGAAGTGTTTAAGGCACTGACTTTATATTTATTCCACATCTATTTTTGGCATAATGAAGATAGGTGTGTGCAGCTATAAAAATGTACTTGCTAACGTACCAACTTTACAAGCGGCTTCTAGCCATTCCCATAAATTTGAAGAAGCAAAAGTGAACATCTATTTCCTTGTTTACTTACCATCCTCACCTACCTCAACCTATCACTGTCAAAACGAGCAGATGCTAAATAAATATATAATACATGATCAACAAGCATCTTTAAAGACACTGTACTTGCTAAGGGACAAGCTAGAAAGTGAACTTTATAATGTTGAGCGGAGGAGTGATCTTATGCTTCAACTGCATAATGATCGTGTCACCTATATGTACCAGGATGGCTGCGATTTTGAAACAGGAGAAAGCTCATAATACGTACTTAGCAAATATTGTGCACAATCTAAAGACTAGATATTGAAAACGTATTAGCAGCCCAAAAAGCGCTCTTGTATAGCGAAATAAAAGATAAAACTCATCACGCAAATCTATCCAAGTAAACGAATAAAATTTCATTTATACCTGATTCATCAATGTGGCTACGACATAGGAACATTACCTTACAAGATGAAGCACGATAATGTTACTTCCAAGATAGAAATATGTTTGGAGCTAAGAAAGCCATGCGCAACACCGTAGGGAACGTGTGAAGACGGTGGACCATCTAGCAATGCAGTGCGAGAAAATGTTATGTCCCGACCATACTACAAGGTGAGGTCCTACGATGTACTGATTCAGGACTCTTCCAGAAGTATGGTCTGAAAGCATTCCCGCACGTTCGAAGTCATTGTGTCAGAAAGTTGTCACGAATGAGAACGTACAGATCCGTGTTCAAACGTAAGAACAGCAACAGAGATGGATGCGCATCGACCGTATATCATGAACCACGATAACAATCGACATGAAGTAATCCTGATGAAGGTTGGCATCACTAGTCAAGACAGGTCGACAGGAATCAAAACTGAGAAAAAACATAAATATGACCTACTGGCCTAATAAAGTTGGGTCAGAGATGAAATGTTGGACAAAAACATGCGATGACTTCGGATGAGATTGTAACAAGCTCCCGTAAACACGAGCGAAGTACACCCAATTACGCTGAGGTATATTTTTAATCGATAATGCTCAAGCAGACGCTCCGAAACATCTCATTCGATGACCGCTATGGATTTCACGATGAAGAAACAAAAGAGATCAGCTCAACAAATCTGAGCGCCGGACAAGTACAACCAAAGTGCTGGAATACGATCCAGCGCCAAATTAACAAAGCAGTAAAAGACTAACCTCTAATTATAATTTTCTT